TCACAAACTCAACTCCTTCAATCATACCTAAGCTCTCTACTTGAGCATCTGTTAATCCAGTTAACACCTGAAACCAAAACATCGAAATCATTTCTTAAGGTTTAATGATCTAAAACCCTAATTTCTTGATTCAAAACCCTATTTCTTGTAAAAGAAGCCAAAACCTTGCCCTTGACTACACCATTCTCAGAAGGAGATATACATGGATGCAAACGACCCTTGAGTCTAAACCGGTGACTGAAACAAACCAAGAAATCAGATTTTAATCAATCTTGAAGAAATCAATACAAACCAAGAAATCAGATTTTAACCAATCTTGAAGAAACCAAAGTAAACAAAGGATCAAGATTAGAGAATCTGAGAAGTGAAACGTACTAGCCATGAAGTTGAGCTGAGACTATGACCGGAGTACTTTCAAGAATCAGACCTACGACGGCTGGTTCTTGGAAACTGCCGTAAACGAAGACGTTGTGCGACGGAGATTGATCGGAGCTAGTCATCGTATGATCTCACTGTGAGATTGAAACAGAGGAAGATGATTAGGTGAATGAGTTACTTATTAGTGATCTTGATATGTTTACTTAGGCCAACCTTACTTGACTTGTCTTAATGTAAGCCTACCTTCTTTGAATCTTCCTAAAGACTTTTATTTGATCTTGTCTTAATATAAACATTACCTGACAATTTTTTTTTGCTTTAAATATAATAATATTAGAATTTTGATGTTTTCTATGTAGGCATTAAATGAGGATTTAGTCTGTATTGTAGTATAAGTTTATGATAATTTAAATTTATACTCTATTTCACAAATAGTGTTATTCTACGATTCATGCAAATTAAGAAAATAGAGAATTATACAGGTTTGTCTTTTTTTTTTTTTTTTTTTTTTTTTTTTTTTTTTTTTTTTTGTCAAACAGGTTTGTCTTTATTTAATAAGTCATTAATGATTATATTCAATGAATGAGCTTTGTATTAAAGAATAAATTAAGAAATTTAGTGTAAAAAACACATTAAAAATAAGGGTAAATCAAATCGAATGTGTTTTGTGCACTAAATTTCTTTATTTACCCTTTAATATGAAGCTCATTCATTGATTTAATCATTAATATCTTATTAAATAAGGGCATACATGTATAGTTAGATATCTATTTTCTTAATTTGTGTTAATTGTCTCAAAATGACACAAACACATGGAGTATTAGTTTTGATCTAAACCTATCTATGATATTTAATTTATTTATAAAGTCTAAATATATCGATAAAAATATTCAGAACATTGAAAATTATTATATCCGGTATAATTAAATAATTTCAACTTAAAAACCAAATAAAACTTTATAAAAAAAATTAAATTTGGATAGTTATTAAGTTAAATTCCTTGCTCATTCTGATTGGTTTCACTTTTTATTTATTTATTTATAATATGACACTGGACCATTGTCTACAACTAGTTGAAGCCACCATGTATAATTTTTTCAAAATTTTCAACAAATATGACACAAAATGTATTCTATTATGATTGAAAAATTAAATGCCACGTCCATAAGAATTGAGTATTTCATTATAATTATTCAGCGGAATGATAAATGTGATGATTATCAACACTAACTATTTTATAGCTACAATATTTAGAAGAGTTGTTTTATTTGATGCATTCTTGGTACATCACATTTTTGTGTTGGTAATAAGGTTGATATTGATAAAATCAAGGGGGAAATATGCACTATTGTTGAATATAAGATAATGGTTGTTTTGATGCAATTTAGGTGCTTGTATGATGATGAAAAAGGTTAGAATTTGTAGAAAAGATAGTAAAAATATACAATGTACGTTATCCGTCAAGGGTCAATAAAGTCATTAAATTTTGGCTTAAAAGATAGAAAACTCCATTTCTAATTGTATTAACATTATATGTGTAGTGTTCGTTTGTTTGTAAAAAGTGTTTTTTAAACAAAATAAAGTTTCTGAATAAACATCAACTTAATTTTTCAAGAATTCATATTAATTTACATTAAGTTATCAAAGTTCAATGTGTAGTAGTGCAACACTAAAAAATATAGAATTAGCCTAATATATCTTATTTATTTGCGCAAGAAATTTTTTACTTGTGTTGAATATCCAAGTATGAAAACGGTCCATAATTTGAGGAAATATGAGACCATTTTTTACAAAGTGGGTCATATTGGATTGGAGAAGGTGAATAAATAGGTGCATGAGATGGTATTTTCTCTGCAACAAAGGTTATTGTTGCTTATGTAGGTGAAAACATTTACTTAGAGAAACAAGAAAACAACTTTACAAAGCTTCTTCATGAGTTTTATACATACGTGACGCCAAAATTCACTTAGGGAAGAATTATACAAAAGTTGAGAGAGTGGCGATAGAGAGAGAAGATATATAGAGAAAACGAGGTTGCATCCCAGAAACAATGGGGATTCGGGAAAATCCTAGTGTGCTTGATTATAAAGCTTAAGTTTAATAACAGATCAAAGGCTGAAGGTAAAATAGTCCCACATAGTAGGTGAAGAATAAATACTTGTTTTGTTTAATTGTGCCTGATTCTAGCTTAGTGGTGTTGTGGTTTTAGTTTTTATTTGGCCATTCTTATGATTCAAATTACTAAAACATTTTTTATCGTTTACCTTTTATTTCTTCAAAATTCATGAAAATATATTTTATAAGACCATTTATTTTTCAAATGCATTGAAAAAGAGCATGAATAAATAAATAAAGTCGTAGTTGAGCAGACGATTAAGGTCTTAACAAGTTATAGTGGCTGAATAATAAAGAAATAATATTTAGATGTAGAAATGAATTAATTGGATTTTGACAAAGCTTTTGCCTAAAATCGGAATCATTTTGAGACCTAAGTGCAAGCACATCAAATTAAAAAAAAAAATAGTAAGTAGATTGAAATATATAAAGTGTTCTTAAAACGTTTACTAAATCAAAATTTGGTCATATGATTGCTTAATATATTCAAAAAATTAGTTCAAATAGTGAAATGGTGTGTTAAACACCATTAGTTCAAATAAACTTTTTCAATTGAAAATAATATTAACGTGAAAATAAATTAAATATTAGAAAAATAAAGAAATATCTCCCGCGTAGCGCGGATGTTATTCTAGTCAACTTAATAATGATTTTATTAATTTTTCTAAAAATTTCATTTGTTTCACATATTAAATGAGATTTCAAATATTTTACTTTAGTCATATATATATTATCTTTCCAAGTTTTAATAATTTATTTTCAATCGCTTTTAATTACAAATTCTTTTGTCATCTTTTTTTTTTTGATTATGTTATAAAGTTTTAGTTTCAATTGAGATTAGGGGGTTATTGGGAGGTTGATTATAAAAGAGTCTGTGGATTTCAAAAGTTTATAGATTTTAAGATTCTCAAAAAAATAAAAGATGACGAAAGAATTGGTAATTAAAAGCGATTGGAAATAAATTATTAAAACTTGGAAAGATAATATATATGACTAAAGTAAAATATTTGAAATCTCATTTAGTATGTGAAACAAGAAAGAGGAAGAAAAAGTAAAAGTCTTGAACACAACCATGGGAGGTTGAATCTAAAAGAGTCTGTGAATTTCAAAAGTTTTAGAGATTTTAAAATTCTCAAAGATTTTTGTAGATTCTAATAAATGTTTACTAAGTTTTTTAGTGTTTAGTAGATTCTTAATATGATAGATTTTACAAATACTTATGATAAGTGCAGTATTTTGGAAATTGTTTTTAACGACCAAATACGTAGGAAATCATATTCGCAATAACACTAGAATTGGAAAATCAATAAATACTCAACTTTTTAAATAACAAAGGATTTTAAATAAAATTACAAAATACATACACCAATAACAAAAGATTTCATTAAAAATCTAAGAATCCATAAATCAATAAGAATAGAATATTCAATCCTAAAAATCTTTCAAAATCATTCTCCCAATAATTTTTTTTATTATTATTTTTTTCTTTCTAAACGTACCTTTTTTTTATTAAACATCCCTTAGTGTACTGGACCTTAGGCTACAAGGAAAAAACTAGGGCAAACAGCAAAAAACAACACCGCCGTCGCCGGGACGGAGACTCGCGCCGTATTGACACCGTGACACAAAGAATCAGCTCAAGAGGATCGACGGATGCGAGATCCACAGTTTTGCTGTGACTCGAGGTATCTAGAGAACGGGAGGGAAGCATTCGAACCACACCGCCGTTCCATTTCCCTCGAACCACCATCCCACCACAAATCTCCCGAAATGAGCAACCTCCGACGTCGCAGCACGTTGTTGACAGCTCCTAAACCAAGCAAGCCGACAACTTCGGACGAAACCTCTCCTTCCTTGTATGGCTAAGAATCCGATTTGCTGAATGAGATCTTTTCGAACCGGCCCAGAGGAAGCAGGTCACGACGGCGACTAGGGCCAAAGGCTATATCGGAAGCCTAGACACCGTGGATCCGTGACGGCCAGTCAGATCCAAGAAGATCCAATGTTAACCTCCAAAGGGATTCAGCAAACCCTCCTCCTCTTCCATTGACTTCCGTCGTGGATCCATTGCCGGCATGACGGTTGAGCCCCGAGAACTTTTTGCTACTCCTACCGACGTCTTCAAACCGAAGGTTTCGTAGTAACTGTCTCCTGCCGTCACATCAAATCCGGATCCACGCCAATGAGAAGAGAGAACCAACCCAAGCTGACAGAGAAAAGATCTCATCCACCCTTGAATCACCTAGAAACCTAAGGGAATTAAGAACAAGGCCACCAGAACAAGCAAGATCTAGGATGAGAGAGCTTAAGAGAGAGAAGCGAGAGTTTGCTATAGGAACGATTGGCCAAGATTTCTCCCAATAAATCTTTCAGAATCTTTAAACTCTAAAAATCTTTAAAATCAAAATTTAGACTTTCTTTTTTGAGATATGCTACCCAATTACGTATCATTCTTATTTAATGGTTTCCATATATATCATAATTATTTTATTATTTCAGAAGATCGATGATAATGTTTTAAAATTTTTAATATAATTCAAGAACATAGAGTGTGGTCCTTCAAATATCTTCTGTCTTAACATACAAACACAACAATGTTCACAAACCATATAAGATACAACATCTTCTTTTGTCCTCCCCACAACTCACAAAAGCCTCTTATTTCTCATTATAATGAGACTAATTTATTTGCAAGTAAATGAAACCAACACATACACCAACCACTTCCTTCAAGCCGAGGTGGGAGGATCATCGTCATGTACAAACTTCTCAAACTCTTCTCTACTTTTCCCATCCGGATTCTTCTTCCATTCCATAAACTTCTTCGACGCCTCGATGAATTTCTCCATGTGAAGCCTCTTCCATTCCTACCAAATCCACACAAACGTTTTCGCCAAAACCATTAACACAACACCAACAATAGATTTCTAATGGAACACAAGAAGAGTTAAGTTATCAAACCTCGAAATCCCATTCCCCATACATATCAGGATCATCTTTATTAGCCCATACATACGTTTCCACATTCATCTTCTCACAAGTATCCTGAACCAAAATCAAGAATTGGAAAAGCTTCAAGAGTCAAGATCATCAAAGACTACTAACACAATTACAAAGAGGATGCAAAGTAGATCACTTACAGTCAATACAACTTCAACAGTCTTCCTCACATAATCATCTCCTTCAATCATATCTAAGTTCTCTAACTGAACATCTGTTAATCCAGTTAGTATCTGCAACCAAAAACATCGAAAACCATTTCTAAAACTCCAATTTCTTGATTCAAAACCCTAATCTTGGTTTTCTTGTAAAAGAAGGAGATGGAATCAAAACCTTGCCGTTGATTACACCGTTCTCAGAAGGAGATATACATGGATGCAAACGACCCTTGAGTCTATACAAGTGACTACAACAAACCCAAGAAATCAGATTATATCAAATCTTGAAGAAATCAAAGTAAAAACAAAGGAAGAATAGGATCAGAGAAGTGACTTACTAGCCATGGAGTTGAGCTGAGACGATGACCGGAGTACATTCAAGAATCAGACCTACGACGGCTGGTTCTTGGAAACTGCCGTAGACAAAGACGTTGTGCGACGGAGATTGATCAGAGCTACTCATCTTTCTGATCTCACTGTAAGCTTGAAACAGAGGAAAAAGATGAATGAGTTACTTATTAGGTAGTGTGATGCATTTTGTATTGTCTTGATCTGTTTACTTTGGCCAACCTTACTTGATTTTTGTCTTGATGTGAAGCCTACCTTCTTGAATCTTGACCTTTTTTGTTTTTTAATGTAAGTAAAGTCACTCTTCTCTTCTGTATTGAACTGTTTTGTTTGTATCCTTTGTTCAAAGTTGTAAGTTTCAATATTGTAATCTTGTTTATAATAGTTTCTCAGTGTTTGGATTATACATACTTCAGAAATCAGAAAATACCAAACAAGATATCTCCACAACAACACATTAGAAGAACTCAGTTTAAATACCAAACAACACACAAACACATAATTTCAAAACACTTCATTCTTCTTCTGCCAAGATTTAGCAGCTAATCTTGAGTCATGTATGTATGTTCATCATGAAACAATCAATCATCAGACAATACCAATGGTCCTACAGCTTCTTCTAAACTCTTCCCATTTGGATTCTTGTTCCATTCCAACACTTTCCTAAACGTTTCCACGAATTTCTCCGCGTGAACCACTCTCCATTCCTACACACACACACACACAAACACCATCCCAACATCAATCACCTTTCCAAACAAATTCGCAAAAGAAAAAAATCGAAAGGAACCATTTTTTCGAATCCTTCCGATATGGTTAGCCACTATATATGACCCGGATACGAAAACAAACCTCGAAATCCCATTCTCCATACATCCTAGGATCATCTTTATTAACCCAAACATAAGTTTCAACCTTCATCTTCTCACCATTGTCCTGCAAAACCACACAAACATTCCCAAACTTTCATCTCACATTGTAATCACAAAACAAAAACAAAAAAGATCAGATTTTTACAAAACACACACACACACACACACACACACACACACACTAACCACTCTCACCATTGTTCTGAAAAATCACAATCCACACAAAAATTCCTAAACTTACATCTCACATTGTACTCACAAAACAAAAAACAAAGATCAGAATTTCACAACACACACACACACACACACACACACTTACAATTGTCCTGCAAAATCACAAAATCCACACCAAAACCCCCAAAATTTCATCTCTCATCGTAATTACAAAACAAAAACAATAATCTGATTTCACAAAACACACACACACACTTACCACTCTCACAACTTCAACAAAACCACACAATCCACACAAAAATTCCCAAACTTTCATCTCACATTGTAATCACAAAAGGATCTGATTTCACAAAACACACACACACTTACCACTCTCGCAACTTCAACAAAACCACACAATCCACACAAAAATTCCCAAAACTTTCATCTCACACTGTAATCACAAAACAAAGATCTGATTTTCACAACACAAAAACTTACCACTCTCACAACTTCAACTGTTACTCTCTCATACTCAACTCCTTCAATCACATCAAAGTTGTTTAACTCAGCATCAGATACTCCAATTATAACCTTCACCACCACAAAACAAACAAAATAAACCAAAACCCAATTCAATTAAAACCAAACCCAAATCGAAAAAACCAAAATCAGAAACAAAAAGATCATAAAAATCAAACCTTTCCATTGACTTTTCCTGATTCAAAAGGTACAACACATGGATATGGAAGACCTTTAAGCTTATACCTATGACTGTAACAAAACCCAGAAATTAAAAACCATCATAGAGAAAGAGAGATGAACAGAGAGAGAGCTTACTAGCTATGGAGAACGGCGGGGACTGTATCGGCGGTGCGATCAAGGATCACGGCGGCGACGGCGGGTTCTAGAATGCTACCGTAGACGAAGACGTTGTGAGATGAAGATGATGGTGGTGGAACAGAGCTAGTCATCTTCTTCTTCCTCTTGGTTTTGATTTGATTTGATCAAATTGGGAGTAATGGAATCTTTTGATGAGCACTTGAGATATTGAATTCATATTTTTAAACATTTTTATAATTTATGATCAAATGACTCACTCTTCTCTTTTCACCTACTTTGTATTATTTTGTTATATAGTATTTTTTTTTCCTTTTAAAAAATGTTTGTTCATTTTTTTTAAGAATTCTACCAATTTTTAAATAGGAAAAAATCCAGAAAACAACCTTATATATATTTTATTTAGATGTTTAATATACGAAATTTATAGAGTCGATGACAAAAAAAAAAAAAAAAATTTATAGAGTCGGAAGAAAAATAAAATATTATTTTTTTTAAAAAAAAATATTCATTAAAATGTATGATTTATCTGTAAAATGTTAATTGTTGTTATTGTTATACTAACGATTTTATAACAAAAGCGAAATTTTGATTTTTTTTTCTTTCTCATCTCAATTAATTATTAATTTTAAACAATTTAATACCCACTCGAATAAAATTAGATTATATCCAAAGTTTGGGACTTTTCCCATTTTATATAGCGATTTTATATTTTGATCAAAAAATATAGCGATTTTATATTTACTATTAATTTTATGAAGGAGTTTGGTTTAGGCTTTTGATTGATTTGAATAAAACGCTTCATTTAAATCGAATAATCGGTTAAAATAAATAATGTTACTGAAGTTATCCAGAATAATATTTTGTTTAGCTTAGTTTGGTTCTCTATTATTTTCATTCTACTTATGTATTTTTAGCCTCTATAAATATTTTTTTTGTTTGGATTATCAGTTCGTTTTATTTATTTAGAAGAATTTTAATGTATTTTAGCGTAATCCCCTATATAGTAAAAGAGAATTACACTTTTCTTTCAAAAAAAAATTTGAGTAAAATTACGAAAAAACATACACTTACCCTTCTCTCTTCATTCTCATTAAGGGTAAACAGGTAAAAAACGCATTGTCGGGTCGGGTCAATTTCTTAATTGTTACCCGAAATTACAGATTGGGTCTTTTGAAAGACATCTTAATATTCGGGTCAATATCAAAATCGAATATGCCTTATTATTCGGCCTCGCATGAGTATCAAGCTATGACCTCTTTGACGAAGATTCAAGTGTACCCACGAATCTTGGAGCATCGTCTCTTCATCAGAGATCCGATACGGGTCGTGTGTAGGTTAAATTCTAGAGAACGTAGCAATAGGGTTTGTGTGCATCGCTGTGAGACTGATTCTGGTGAGAAGAAAGTTGAAAGAAGGAGAAAAGTTGTGAAATCTAATGGGTTGTGGAGTTCTTTGAAATCTGGGGTTTTAGGTTTTAGTAAATTAGGGTTCTTATCTAAAGATGAGTACAATCACAAAGTTGAGAAGCTGGAGATGGTCTTCTCTAAGGTTAGTCTTTAAAGTTTCAACCTTTTTATTCTTTGTTCTCTGATTACTCTAAAGTTTTAACCTTTTTATTGGTTTTGTAGATTGCTGTTCAGATTGCGAGATATATTGTGACTATGACAAGTACTGGAGCTATTCTCTTGATTGGGTTTCAATTATCAGGTTAGTGCAAGACTGTTGTGTAGAAGATTGTTTTGAAAGGTTGAAACTTTGTTTTGGACTGGGTTTTGTGTGTGTGTGTGTGTGTGTATTGGTATGAAAAGGTGGGGATGGTTCGATGAACTCATTGATTTGGTATAGTTGGCTTGGAGATATTATCATTGGAACTATGATTGGGTCTAATATGGTTTTGGAAGATCATTACAGAGCTGATCCGCGTAATGTTGTTATTACTGGAAGGTAAAGTTCTTTACTTTCTGGTTTTTTGCATTGTTTCTTTGTGTGTTTTGTTGTGATGCTGATTTGTGTTTTTGATTGATCTGTGTTTAAGTACGAGAGGACTAGGGAAAGCTCTTGCTAGAGAGTTTCTTCTCTCTGGAGACATTGTCACATCTCGCAGGTTGGTATATTGAATTGTATATGGGAATATGGATTAGTTTTTTCTATCAAGAAATGATTTCTTATGATTTGTGTTTTGTGTTTTGTTTGGTGCAATTAGTTCTGAATCTGTTGATGTGACTGTTAAAGAGCTTGAGCAAAATCTTAAAGAGATTATGAATAGTGCGAGTGAGTCTGCTAGAAAGAAATTGAGTGATGCTAAGGTAGTTGGTATTGCTTGTGATGTTTGCAAATCCGAGGACGTTGAGAAGCTGTCGAATTTTGCTGTAAAAGAGCTTGGTTCCATCAACATATAGGAGAGGCCGATGGTTCGATGACCAAGTAGTTAACAGTGTTCAAGCCAAATTCACTTCAGGGTCACTCGCTTACGCAAAGATGTGTTTTATATGTTTGCAGGGACGGGCGTTATATGCAGCGGAAGCAGACAGACTAAGGAACTGGGCAGAGAACAGAACAAGGTTGTCATTAACAGACGCCATGGAGATGTACACAGAGAACACTTGGGTCTCTGTTTTCTCTCTTTCGGTTGTTTGTGCTTTCATCATCCTTCAAAGCACCACACCTAGCTCCTTTCCAGGCACATGACAACATCATTGTTTGGATGTGTTTATAAAAGATTTAAACGTACATGTTATTTGTATAAAGAAGCTATATGTATAACAGAACCAATCTGTTCAATCTATCATACTGTCTCTGGTTACAAACCTAAATACGTCATTATAGCTGTAGAATGTTTTGCTGTTGACAGTATGAAAGAATCGATTGTATTTAAGTTTACACTATCAATATAACTTTCCAAAAGAATTTGTATGAAATTGTTTTAAGTACTGATCTATATTTTGCTAAAATACCACTAATAAAAGCTACTAAGATTATATATATGATATGAGAAATATTTAAGGAGATTAATTTTTAGGATTTTGAGAAATATTTTAGGATTACACAATACAAATGTATGATAAAAATTTAACATTTTTTTTACATATGTTGCAACTTGAAAATTTCAAAGCGGATATATATTACTCGATTGACAAAAATAAAGTGTGCACAACATCCCACATCGGCTAAAATATTTTTGGCAATAATTCAGATAATTATAAATAAGACCAACATGCTTCGAATTATGATGAACAGTAAACTTAATTTATCACGCATCCAAATTTAAACGTTTTATTTGGTATAAACCGGTTCTAAGTTTAAACAAATTAAGTTTTTTTTAAAAGCTTCAAAATATCATAATATTTAAAATGTATAAAATATTATAAATATTAAAAAATTCAAATATTATAAATATTAACTGATAATTTTGCAACGTGTCAGAACATATATTAAAATTATTGATAGTTTAGCAACGGCTCAGATTATAATACCTATCACTTAAGTTTTACAACCAAATACTTTGTAGTACCAAATCTTACATAAATATGATTTCAAATTTATATGGAAAAATTATTCACTTTTTTAGTGAACACTTATTATTAAAAAATATATTAGTTATGTACCGACCAAAATTTAAACTATATAGATTAACGAAAACAGAATAATTACCCCCTTCTCCCAATTACAACTATTTAATCAATATTATTTATTTATCATGAAAAATTATCAACACAACTAGAAAAATTTGTCACTAGGAAATTGTTTTCATTAATAAAAAAAAAAACAAATCGAAACTTTTCCTCCGCGCTGTAGCGCGGGTCCGACTCTAGTCTGTTTTATTTTTGCTAGAAAAAAAATGATAATAGTTGAAGCTAGAAATCATACTGATCGAATCAGCTAATATAATGACCAACCCCAAATCAAAATGACTAAAAAACATGTTTGGTTGGTTTGAAAATTTGGTTCGAATAAGAACAAAGCATTAACCTGAAAATTTGTCACTTGCCTTGTCTGATCCATTGTAGTGTTCTTATAATTTCTAATTTCACAATTAAGCTAATAACTATAGAGTAAGTTTAAATTACCTAGAAGAAGAACTGTTAATAAGACAACAATACAATTGTTGAGACAACTACAACAACTCCCAATATTTCACATAACTTACATTTTTTACACACTAACAATGATTTCTCGAATTGCAATGTAAGTACCCAAAACACCAACAAAAACACTCATCACAACCATTCCAAACAACATTATAGTCTCACACCCAATCTTCTTGTAATTCCCAGAGATCTTCAAGTAACACAAACAAGGCAGAAGTATAGAGACCGTAACGCTAAGCAATGCTCCGACCAACGACATCATATACCCGAAAAAGGGAAGTGTCTCGGCGATGACGACGCTGCTTATGATGAAAAATGTGCTTATCAAAAGATGCAAGTATGTCTTCTTGGCGTAACTCGAAGGGAACCAATCTTTTATGGTGTTCACTGTTGGTGTGATCATCAGTGCATACTTGGCTACAGGGTTGACGAGTGTTGTGTATATAGCCACCTTTGAACTCGTCTTATGAGTTGGAAGATTCAATGTTATTTGTGATAATGTGTTTGATCCATACATTAAGTATCCCAAAACTGCCATTGATGTGTACCCTATGGTGCATAATGTAAAACACACAAGTAAGACCTGTAGACCAAAAATAAAAATGTGAAATTAACATTAAAATATCATCCGGAATCTGAATCCGAACCGGAACCGAATTTAATCCGATTTTAAGTTAAGCAAAATCAAACCTAAATCTAATGCAACAAAACTAGATTAGCTAATCATTAAAAATTAACATATTAATTAATACATACAAGAAAATATATTTATATAAATCTAATTAATATATAGTTATATATAGGTTTAAATGCCGATGACTCGGGTTTGATTCGGTTTATATAGACACATAAATTTGTATTTAAACCGAATCAAACATGATTCAACAGATTTTAAACCTAAATAAACGGAAACAATCTTGACGGAAAATAACAAATTTCTAAGCCTATATAAACCATATCAATATGTACATGAAATTATGTAAGAAATTACTTTGTGGGTTGATTAATGATAGTGGGTTGGTTAATGAAGAAATGACTTACATTGTTGAACTGATGTTTGCTTTTCATAGAAGAATACAAAGTGGGCAAAACTGGATGCGCACCATAGCAAAAAGCATATAAGCTCAAAGCTGTAGGGATACCACTCCAATTGATAAGCTTTCCCTTTTGATGAAAGCCAATCCCATCAAATGCTCCAACCCAAGATATTGATCCAAGAGTCACAGTCGTAGCTAAAACGCCACTCATGGAAACATAAGACAAGACGCTTAGATTATCCCACCATAGAGTTGGCATGATGACGAGTGCCACGGTCGCCATAAACGCTTGTTTGCCATTCAATCTCAACCCGATCATTTCGATGTTGAAACCCGGGAAAAGATTGTGAAGATTGTCTCCCTCTAGGATCAAGAAACCTGTGGTGACTAGATAGAGTTCTAGGTGCATAAATAGTGAGACAATGATCCTCCCTGGTCGACCAAATGCGCGCTCTCCAATGTCCGGATATGTTTTGATGTTGCGATCCGCATTCATACATTTAGTAATGAGCAAGGATGTGTAGAAGGCTGTTGCGGCTAGGAGTAACAAAAGTGAAAGACTCAACCATCCTCCACGAGCCAATGAATATGGTACCGATAAAATTCCAACTCCTAAACCAATCCAAGACTCATAATTAGTGTCACAGCTCACAAGAACAACTAAACAAGTATAAGTGAATTGAACCAAATAGGATGAAACAAACCAGAAAGAGCATTGAGTGCGTTGAAACATGTCTTAAAGAAAGAGGAAGATCCAACATTGTCACGTTGTCTTTCACTGTTATCTTCTTCCATTGCTAATGACCTTTTATAAGAAAAAAATGGAGAACAATGATCATCAATGTAATAAAATTTTATATTTCTAACTTTTTTTAGAGAAAAAGGTATATTTTGTGGGAAAGAAGAGAAGAAAGAAAACAATATGGTTGAGTAATTTAAAGCTAAAGCAAGAAAAGTGTGGTTATTGATACATTTGATTGTGACTAATAACACAACAATAATATTGTTAACTTTTCTTAGTATTTAACTCTCAAAGAACATGGAAGAAAACTCCAAAATTCATCTACCTACTCAAGATCATTGTTTCTATAGTCTCAAAATTTCAAGATTTGCTTACACATAGAAATATATTGACATCTCTAAGGTAAGCTCTAGATTACACACAACCCATTCAAAAAAAAAGAAATGTACCTTGAAATTTTGAGAGTTAACAACCAAATTCACAACCCAAAACCTTAACTAAGATAGTAGAAAGCAAAAGCCTCTAATGAAAATATATTCTCTCCCTAAAAAAAACTCATAAACCCTCAAAACTCTTGGATGAAGTTCACAAACCAGCTTCAATCCTATTTATAAGAAAAACAAAATCAGCCACACAAAAATAAAGATCCAATTCGAATAAGGAGAAATAAATTAAAAATTAAAAATTAAAAAAATTGGAAACTCCTTTGGACTAGGACCATAAAAACAAAAACAAACTTGAGTGTTCTCTCTTGAAGAGTTGGTGAGAACTATTTAAGCATTAAGATCATGAAAGAGGAATGAGTGGAATCACACACATATGCAAGTAAGAGGAAACTTTTTTTGGGTGTTTAGTATTTTTAAGTGATGATTAAAAACAAAATGTCTTATACGATAGAGATTCAATGCCAACTAATTAGATTTTTAACTTTTTCCATCTTGTGTTGAAAAAAACAAAGTTATACGATAAATTAGTCTCAATTTTAGATCAAAATCAAGAAAATATTCTTAAATCTAAATCATTCATAGATACTTAGATAGACGACTCTCAGGTATCATAGGCTGCCTATATTTGTAACTTAGATCAATTCTGTAATCACCCAACAACATGTATGATTAGAGTTAAGGTTACAAACTAATGCATGAACAAAAAACTTCAAAGCTTTGTGGATTAACAAAGGAAAGAATTGTGATCGAACCTGAAAAAATAAGTGAGAGCCGATGAACTTGAACTAACTTGTGTAGTTGATCAAAGTCTTGAACCATTCATCGAATGAAATTGGTGAATGGTGTTTTTGGTTTTGTGAAAAAGAACAAAGAGTTATCTAGAAATATTGGTAAATATATATGAGTTTGTTATTGTGATATGCATGATACTTGGGAATTTGGTGGAATTGTTTTTACATAAAAAAAAACAAAAACAAAATACTCTATATTAAATGAAAAGCGTTTTTTTTTCTTGGAAGTTTGACTAAAATTAAATATAAAAGGAATTGTTTTAGAATAATTAAGCAATTAAATAGTACCATAAAAAAAAGTAGTACTAGACTCTTGACTATTGTAGTACAGTTTTAGTAAATAATAAAAACATATATAGAAAATTATCTAAATATTTATATACATATATAAACATATATACTATTTATCTACATACATATATATATATATGTATATATTTGTTTTTTGAACACTAAAAAAATTGAAACAAATGCTTAAATGTTTTATGGTATTTTTCTTTCCCGACACTATATGATGAATGCATAACTGTTGCTTTGTAAATTGTTTTATAGTATGTATAATTGTCTTATAGTATCAATGTTGCTTTGTAAATTGTTTTATAGTATGGATAATTGTCTTATGTAGTATCAATGTTGCTTTGTAAATTGTAACTTGTTAAACTCAAAAGTCAAAACTTCACTAGAAACTTTTAAGAATAGAAAATAATTTTTATAATAAAAATTATTATATTTAAAAATTTTCACAAATATACCTACATATATGTATTTTTATTAGATATAATTAGGAAAATTCCCAAAAAATGTCCCATCTAATTTTTGTATGGATGTTTTTGGGTTGGAAGAAAAATACCCAAAAAAAAAGTGTGTAACGTAATAGCTAAAAAAAATAAAGATTTTTATTTACATACACGTGTTCTCATAACAAACAAAAAAGCCAAATTTACCCTTACTCATCCTTATTTATTATGAATATATATATATTTTTAAAAATAATAATAATTAAACAAATTAAAGATAAAAATATATATATATATATTCGGTTCCTCCCAGTTAACCGAGATTTCATCTCCGACGAGAGTCCGACTAGTATATGTCAAATTAGGGTTTGACATATCAGCAAATTCTTCGAATTTTGTGCTTGTATATGCGATTTCCGGTGTAAAAGCGACGAGACATAGAGATCCGAAGACCTCAGCAACGGATGCAAAAATATTGACTCTAAAGAGAAACCAAAAGTTTTCTTATTTTTTATATTTTATTTTTTTGATTATACTTTACTCTAAAAATCTATATTTATAATAAATAAAGATGATTAAAACTAAAATTGGATTTTGTTGGTTTGTTATGAGAACGCGGATATGTAAATAACAATAATTATTTATCGTAGATATTAAGTTGTATATTTTTATTTGTTTGGGTATTATTCTTCCATCTAAAAAGCATTAAGTATTAAACGTACATATAAAAATTAGATGTGATACTTTTTGAGAATTTTCTCCATATAATTATAAATTAGTAATATAATATTATATTTAGTTGCAAAACGTATCCAGTCAACGTATTTATTTTAAAAAAATTTCATTCTGCAATTGTTGTACTGCAAGTTTTCATTCTGCAACTTACACCATTATTATGCATCGTTACCAATCGGTCGGAGCCGTTGTTTAATAGTAGTTAGTAAGAGAGTAAAATGGAAATAGATCAAATTATGAATGGAGTGAGAAACAAATTATTGTATATAGCTTACAACAAAGAAGAACTCAAACTGTCTTTTAAAGAAGATGAGAACAACAGCTTGAGACATCTTTTGCTTTTGTATAAATCTATAGAACTTATGTGGGCAGGCGTTTAAGTGTTCCATGGCTTGTCTCCAGTCGATAGAAGACTCGCGAAACCTTGTGAGAGACTTCGTTCGATTGAACAAGGAGACTTAGATGAACATCTTGGACTGTTGTTGGTTTTGGTTCGTTTCAAGTTTGATGAAAAAGAAATGTATTGGGTCTCTGATGCATCTTCATCTTCTTCTTCTTCTTCGTCATTGTCGTTCGATGTTTTTCTCTTTAAACCTGGAATGTTTCTTAAACCCGTATGGGGGCAGTGATTATCTTTGTGATGCTCATCTAACACCAGAAGAGAAGAAGGTAATAAGACTATGCCACTATGTCAAGAATTTTTACAATCTTTAGATTATAGAAACCATATATACCTTCTTCATAGAGGCATGGTTCAGATTCTGTGTCACCACATTTGCAGAATAAGTTAGTGTCCTTATTCGGACCTAAAATGCTGCGAATCAACAACGACGGGATTAAGTCTAGTTGTTTAATGAGTAGTGTAAAAGGTGTTCACGACAAAAGCTTTTTTGTTCAAACCTGTACATATGCTCGACAAAGTCATCTATTAGGACAGGCCATGCACCTGAGGGAGACAAATTCCATAAATTGAATCGAACACAAACAAATATATATCACACATGTTGTGAGAATTCTAGCAATTTGTACCTTCAGAGTCATATCCTTCTAGATTCTCATGAACACAACGACTAAACGCTAAGACTTGTTGCCAAGTATCTTCTGAAATATTGTGCCGTTGATTTTTCTACAAGTTACAATCATCATCTTTTTGTTAGATATACAAACACAAAGGTCTGGTAAAAACGCTTATAGTTACGAAAAGTACCTCGATATAGTCACACCAGCGGTTCAGTAACCTAAATCTTCCAGCCAAAACCAGTTTCCATGCAGTGATAGCTCTACTTATAGCTGAAACGACATCCAGACAAGTTTCTAAGTATCATCTCTGTTGGCTATTGCACCCAAAGCAATGATATAAACAGACAAAAGCTCTTACTTATATTCTTTTGTCCGTTTTCACGACACATAAAGAAAACAAAATCATAAAAGCAGGTAAACTCATTAAAGTCCACCTACATAGAGAAAATATCAAATGTCAGATCACACTCCAACTAATCAAGAAACGAATCAAGCCGAAAAAATTAAGGAACAGAGAACCAAAACAACTCACCATTAAGTCTAACCGTGACATCAACTTGAACAATTCATCAAAAATAGAGTTTCTGCCGAAGAACAACGCAACGGTAAACAAACGAACGAATTAGCTCAAAAGCACTAATCATTCCTTCAAAGAGATAACCCTGAAGATATTGAATTATACCCTCAAAGCCCCCCCCATACCTTGCTTGAAACTTATTCTCTACTAGATACAAGAGCTGAGTTAATGCTTCTCTAGATGAGTTAGTTCTCTGTGATTCCTCGCCATCCTCGGGTTTACTATAATCACACAACTGTTGACCTGATCTTATGCCTAATCAAATCCCAACAGAACAAAACCCAAATTAGTCATCACTCTCTTCATCAACTCACAATAACCAAAAAGGAACAAACTTTATCCTGATAAAACCCTAATTTAAAGTACCAAAACCATAAAGATTCAAACTTTAATCCATAGCAATGTAACATAACTCAAACAACACTATGTGGGCAATTCAAAGATCAATCCTTTATACATAACAAATCAAATATACGATGAACAAATCAAGAAAAAGCTAACCAAAACCCTAACTTCATAGATAAGAATTAACAACAGATCGAAGAACAACAATAAAGTTAAAGACTTTACCACAAAATCTGCGATAAATCTCGAATATATCGAATCGAACCGATACAGGCGAAGAATCCATGGATTTTGTGTAAAGCTCGAAGCTTTTTGATCGAAGCTTGAGCTAAAACGAATAGATCAGGAAACGTATAAACAAGAAATCGAAATTGGCAAATCCTAAAAGCAAAGAGTTCATAAAAATTATGGAAAGATGAATTGTTTTTTTTTTTGTTAATTTCACTAAGTTTATGTCGAAGAGATTAGAATAGAGAAGGCTCTCTTCCTGAGATTTGTGAATATTTTTTTGAACAAGACACTTTTGGTTTAGTCAGAGACCTAAACCCAAGGCCCATTTATAAGTCAAACTAAGGCCGTTCTCATACAAATAATCATAAGCTTACAAAATATTATTCAAAAACCTTAAACACTAAACATATTAATATGTACACAAAGTGAAAGACTTATTGCTATATCATCGTTCATCTTTTTTTAAAAAAAATTTCTTTTATTAATAAACCCAAAAAAATATGGATTTGAGACCCAACGGTTACACTACAATTAAACCGGTTAAAGAAGATCGAAAAACATCGAATACACGACTTTGGAACTGGATGGTTAAACAAAACCGAGAATATATCTACTAGAACCGTCATTTACAAGAGCGAATCCTTTGTAGCAACGACACCGATTTCGAAACCATTGGTCGGAGTAAACGGATCCGAGCGCAGGAAGAAACCAAAAACAAGCCAGATCCCAATAAATTTTTCACCGAATAGATCAAACCCATACACCAAAAACTTTATCTCTTTAATCTCATACTTAGCGAAAAGAGAGAATACCGCAGAAACTTGCCCTCGACATCTGGCGTATACTAAATAACAATAAACATTTCAAATACTAAACTAATATAAATTAGAAAAAGACAATCCATATGAAAAATATAAGGACAAAAAATGACTACAGTGAAAAAAAAACGTTGTAAAAGAAAAAAAAAATCATACTAGGCATTTATGTACAATGTAAAAATGCAGTTAACGTTTCCTAATTAAATATTTAGATTATATGTTTTCTATATTTAGATTACTGTAGAACTCCTTGAATCACATGAAGTGAACGTTCCCTGATTCAACCAGCAAAGAATACTAGAGATTAAACTATATTTCTTCATGAAAACATAGGATGGTGGAGATACTACTGGATGTTGTACATTGAAGGTGGGAGATGTAAATTTGAAGTCTAATAATAAGATCAATGTATCATTATGTCCAAAACACTTTACTTTAAATCATCTGACTCTTGCTGCTTTTCTTTTTTTTGTACTTAGTTCCTTTTCTTTAGTGAGATTGAACGTTTGTATACACCGCCGAGGAGGTGGATCCTTCTTTTTACAAGGCTGTTAAGATGGTGTTGGCTTAATCAAATGGTAATTTTTGGTTTATCTTTTTTGCTGACCCCAGTTTTGCAGAAAAATAAAAAACGGATGAACTCTTTGCTGACTTGATGACAAATATACTATATGAGCATCTTAATGAGATGGTTCGTGGGCTAACACCGAAGGTGCTCCGGGTGTTTAATGCATCTATTGTTTTGGATAGAAAGGTGAGTTGGGAATTTGGTTTACAAATTTTGAAGATTTCTTCATTATTTTACATATTATTCAAAGATTTTATTCAATTTATACAGTTTCCCAAGAAAAAATAAGAGTAGATGAAAATGAGAGGTTGATGTTCTATCATCAAGCTATCAAGCATGTGTTGTCGAAGACGGATTACTATGATCCTCGGATCACAGTTGCGTGGTGCAAACGTAACACCATACCTATAGAGAAGGTAAGCAATCTAAGTATAAAACTGTTGGAAGATGATTTATTTGTATTCATTCATGAAATTGAAATAAAAATGGTCTCATGTTCTCTAGGTATTTAACATATACACGATATACAAGTGAGTTATTCTTAAAACGTTCTATGATATCTTCCTGTATCGATGCCAATTCAGGGTAACACATACCATCACCGATATAGACTACAGAGTATTCATTACTCTGAATTTTTCCACATACTTGTGTTATCTCTTTTTTCTCCTATTTTTCTCCTCACTAAAATATTAATAAATCATACATATTAAAAATAGATTTTCATTGAACATTTGACATCTATTATTAAAAACAGAATTTTATCTTATATAATAAATTAAGGTTTCTCAAAAATCAAGTTTGGAGAAGCGTACATGTGTCATCTTTTCCCCATATTTTTTCCTTACTTAAAATTAATAAATTTATATTAAATCATAAATATAAAAAATAGTGTTTCATTAGACATTTCACATCTACAATTAGAAACAGAATTTATATCTTACATAATAAAATCTGACATGTGCCATATCTTTTTTTCTCTTATTTTTCTCCACACTTAAATCATACATATTAAAAAGAGATTTTCATTGAAAATTTCACATCTCTTAATTAAAAATGGATTTATATCTTATATAATAAAGGAGGTTTTTCTACATTTTAGATATATCTTAAATTGGATGGAAAAAATGACTCACAGCTTGGACAAGTGGATCATAAGCTACAACTGGAAAATAAATAAGAAATGTTATGAATCAATCATTGTTTCATAACCACCATTGGCTACTGAGTAAACAGAGGGTCAATATGTAGTATCTGATCATTCACAACAACACTCTTTAAATTCACATTATATTGTGTCCTTAAATGTATTTTTTAGTACATCAAAGCATGGGTTAGACATTCCATTTTTACTATTATCATATGGTAAGAGTTAATTGAGAAGTACAATAGAAGTTTCAAGAACTCATTTCCATCGAGAGATGTGTAGACGGTATTTGGTATATGGTAGAAGTTTTAAAACCATTACACCCCCACCATCTTTATCCCTACTGATACATAGCAATAATACTTTTGGTGCAAGACGCGGACTCGAAAGTTGTGAAGCTATTGATAATATTTTCTTGTCTAACCAATGATGTCATGTATTGTTGTCTATGGCAGTTATATAGATCCAGCCAGTAAGTTGTTACACCTAAAGAATCAACAGAAAAGCGAGAAAAAACCGTATCAAAGGATATAAACAAAGCAGAATAGTTTCTCATAAAGGAAAAGAATTAGGTTACCCGAAAACAAATGGCCAGAGGAAATTATCGTCAAGTTGCTTAAAAACAGTCTCGAAGGAAATGACATCCGAATATAATATCTGGATGTTACACTTCCTTCGTTATACTCCAACTTATAGGAGTAGCTTTCCAGCAGTGAACAACTTTATTTCTTGAAACCTCTCTTATCTGAACATGGAAGTTTTACCATTGAAGATGATGCTCCAGGATCAAAGAAACTTACATTAAGATGAAAAGCCACAAAACAAACTAATTATCATGAAGGTATATATTGCGGAAAGTTAAAATCTATATATTAAGGAAACTTATAAACAGAGTAACATGGAGTACACTTATTTTAGGTCAGCCGACGAATGAAAATGCAGCTGACCCAAAACATCACTCCGAGTATCAGTTACAACATTGAACTCTCTTGGGGCTATCCCAAGTTTTAATATTTTGTAGTAATTAAAAGCCTGTCATAAGAACATAAGAGAAAAATATTCAGAAACAAGATTGAGAGATGAATCAAGAATCAGAAATTTTTAAACTTAAGAAATCTATTGAGATAAAAGGATCATAAAGTGAGAGAAGTCCGTTAGCGTCTCTTCCAACTAGAAAATTGAAAGACCCGTAAACAGGAGACTCTAACAACCGTCTATGCCGAACATAATCAAAATCCTGAAAATGGAGAAGATTGAATTCATGGTTCGGATATATCACCCTCTTCAACTTATGAACCGTGATGGCCTCGTAGCCACACACCATGGTTATGGCAATAAGAACCAGCGTTGCAGCAATTCTCGTACATAATATTATCCAATATTAGCTAGTTTATGTGTTATCAACTCATTTGATTGATAATGCATTTGCAAGACAAATACCAAAATATATCCAAAGTTCCAAACACCCTCGAGTCAGATTGTGACTTGTTCCCACTTTGTGATCATTGTTTGCTTAATCTTAGCTTCTTCTTTTTTTTTTCTTTACGACGTTGTGACATTTTTTAATTATATAAGGCTTTGAGAACATCTAGTTGATAACTGTCAAACATGTAAGCATTCAATCCACATGGACACTATAAAACATATGGTCGAGTATAGTAAAAATAACCCAACCAACCAACAAGACACATAACTCATAATCTTCGAACATGTTAGAAGTAAATATATCAAAACTAACATATAAATGGGTAATTATATAGTACTGTGGGTTATTCTCCAACACCAAAACAAGGAATGAACCAACGAGCACCTCCAATAATGAGGCCACGATGTTGAATTGGTTTTATCGTTTGCTTAGGAATCTCATATGCATAGATCTTATGCGTAGGAATCTCATAGGCAGCAACTTCCCGAATAGATGATTTAGTAGTGTGACAATAATATATAGAATCTTTCTTGATCCCATATACATCTTTGGTTGGTAAAGTAACACTCAAATCCCAAACCAAAGCTTCCTCGTTCTCTAAAGACTCTACTCTCTCCCAGTACTCAGCATTACCACACCCTCCCATCCAAAACGTGTCCTCCTTCTCCCCAGAACACACTTTATCCCAATATTCTCTAGTGCTACTCATCTTGTAGACTTGGAACCGTACTCTTTTGTCAGTGTGTCCTATCATGCGTTGCACCATCAGAACATCTCCAGATGTTGTTAGTTTCATTCTGACCTTACCTGAAACAAGCTTAGGATCAAAAGGTCGATAGGCATATGGATGATTGTAGATTTCTCTTGGCAAGTAGTCTCCAAGAGTAAAGTCCAAGATTCTGATGCTACCAATGTAACTACGTATGTAAAGCTTCTTGTCTTTGTAAGCCAAATCCAAACACCCTCTTACATTCTCACTGCTTTTTGGTATCTCAAACCACTCTTGGTCTCTTTTCCTACAATAACATATGTAAGGACTAGAATAACATGCCTCTTTATACGACCATACAACTAAGTAATCTTTTGTTTTTTCATCTACCCACAAAACAGCGGTCTTCACTATCACATTTTTACCCATGCCAGTGCTATGGCGTATGTCGAAAGAATAGTTTCCGCGTCTCTTGAACTCGGCACTACGGTTCGATTCTAGAGGTGGGAGGTGTATGATCTCTGGAGTGAAGGGATTAATGATGTAGAAATTTACTTCCTTGTCAAAGACCAAGACCCAACGCCCACAAGTAGCCACACCACGACACTGCGCAAAGCGACCTAGGTATTGTGTTTTGTAAGACTTGCCTTCTTCTGAATTAAACAAGAGCCAGTGTGTGTCTTCGTAGAGGATCAGCCACGGGGTATGGTTTTGTCTAGGTGAGGATGATTTGGAAGCAAAGTACCACGTCGAACAAACTGTCTTCGCTCTAGCGAAATCTGTAAAGCTCAAGTTCTTGAAGACCAATGACCAGATGTCTTGGACAAGGTCCGACCAGTTTGGTGTTCCATGTTCTGTTGCCATCGCTCTAACTTTGGTTTATAGGCACAATCACACAACTAGGGTTTTCCCCGATGAAGATGAATATATATATATATATATAACTAGGGTTTTAAAACCCTATTAACAAAGTTTGAAGATGTTTATATATTATTATACGTTATGTCGTCGTGTATGTTTTAGGCATTTAAAATCATGTAGTAGAAAAAGCCAAAAACTAATTATATAAATACTTTTAGTGATCTCATATTCACTTATGAATGTTTGTTAGAACATACATAGGAGCAATTCAATCTATATTAAATTTCAAAAACTTATTCTTTGCATAGGCTGGTCGATATATCTATGGCTAGCCTATACATTTTTTTTTTGTTTTTATATACACACACAAGAAAAAAAACTATAATTATTTAGCTAGTTGTTATAATATATGGCATTGTTATTTCTGTGAGTTCTTTTAGCTTTGGATTTGAGTTTAGTTTGCAACCATCTTCTTGGAGGAAGAAGTAGATGATGAAGAAGACTGTGTCTCGCTCTTAGTTGCAACCTCAACGAATTGGGTTGTGACTTGTTCCCACTTGGTGATTGTTTGCTGAATCTGTACTTGTTGTGCTGGTGTGCATGTCAAAGACTTCTTGCCTTTGTTCTGGCTCACAATTTGACTGTGGATGGTCTCTAACTCTTGGAGAGTCTTCATCACTTCTCCCTGGTAAGCTTCCATGGACTTCTTCACCTGTCAACATATGAGATTATGTTAATAGATCTTGCTTTAATTTTGTGATTCAAAAGAACTTGCATTCATTTGATAAGGACAATGTCTTGTTTCTTACCTCAGCTGATTTGTTTCCAATTCTTGACCGGATAAATGCCATGGCACCAGATACTTTCCCGGCAGCAGATTTAAGTCTAGAAAACAAACCTTTTCTTTCTTTTGGGGGAGCAATCATTGTACCCTTTAGTTGCTCGAAGAAGGCCTTGTACTCTTCCTTTTGTGGACATTTCTTTTCCAAGTTCATTATGAATACAGACACTTGTTTGGAAGTCTCAGCCTCAACTTCTTCCACATTTACGCCGCTGCTGCTCTGGCTAGTTTCGACACTTCCACTAGCGGATTTTTCACCAGTAGCTTTAGTTTCTTTAGAGGAAGTTTCTTTAGAGGAAGTTTCTTTTCCACTTGCAGCAGGAGAAGAGCTTTCTTCGGTTGGCTTAGCATCCTTTGAAGAGGGTTCTTTCGCATTCGCAGCAGGAGATTTTTCTTCGGTAGGTTTAGTATCCTTAGAGTCAGTTCCAGTACTAGGACTGCCCGAGTTAGACTTTGAAACTTTAGTCTCTTCAGAAGAGCTTTTGTTGTTCTTGTTGGTTGTCTCATCTTTTTCAACATTAGATGATACACTTGAAGAAGAGTTTGATGAGCTCATCACCATTGTGTTTGTTATCTTAGTAATAACTGTTTCCCATTTCAAGATCCCTTCTTTGATTTCTTTTTGTTGCTCTACTGTTAGTTTCATGGTGTCTTCACTCTCATCTTTCCTACGTCCTCCCATAATCTTAGCCGCCACAGATTTCATAAACCTAAAGGTATCAATGGCTTCTTGTTTTTCCTCTTGGATTTCCTCCCTTATCTGTTAGATTTTTATATAAAATTCATGACATAGTAAATTAAATGGTTTCAATAGCCATAAGTTATAAACCTTGTATAACAAGTTACCTTTCCGATCGCGAAAGAAGATATGGTCTTGAAGATGCCTCCGGCTTTGGCCTTCATGTCCCTGTCGTAATCTACTTGGTCTCTTCTTTTAATAGGGCAAACATACTTGGCAAATGCCCTAAGTTTCCCAAAGAAGGCCTTGAATTTACTTGTCTTGGGACATTCCTTTTCTAGGTCAGCCACAAAGACCATCATTACTTTAACGGTGTAAGGCTCTACATCTTTCACCGTCTTAGGATCTTCAAGTTGAGGCAAAGATGGCTTAAACTTTAGGTGAGCTGAAGCCAAATCCAGAAGGGTTACAGATGCAAAAAGAATGGTAAAGCATACCAATAGCTGAACTCTTGCCATTATTTTTTTTTTTTTTTGGTTTTAAGATTATTCTTTTTTTTTTTTTAGAAATTTATTATTTATTTTGGTGAGGAAAAGATTGATGAATGAATTATTTATGGGATTCTTGGTCTGCTTTTATAGTTAAGTTTTTGTGTTCTATGTTTAGAATTATTGACCCGCTGATCACTGAGAGTTTTGGGGAACAAGGTCTAAATAATAGTAAAGAGTTTCATGGTTCTTAGCTCTTTTAGTTGTCCATTAAAATCTATAGTTATTGTTGCTTTTATAAAATAAAATATTCACAATATTATTAGATAAATTTAGTACTTATATAATATAAGATCCTAGAAAGTGGGTTTCCTATATTTGGATAATTGGAGATAATATTGGCCACGGTTATGAAATTTCTTTTGTACAGTATTATTATTAAGAATTGAAAAAATAAAATATATAGAAAAGAAAATAAATAGCAATATTTCAGAAGATATTATATTAAAGAGAGTGGACTTTTTTTTTGAATAATCAAAGAGGTTTTAGACATATTAGTTTTTGTGTAAAGCTGTCTTAAACATTTTTTTATTAAAGTTATTAAGGATTAGGCATGTTATTAAGACGAATCCAAAACATACACTAATAGATTAAGGACAGTCCTGGTTAAGTGCCTAATCCTTAAAAGAGACAGTCATGATAACTTGTTTAAGCCTATGGCAATATGTTCATCAATGGTCATATACTCCTTGTTGTGACATAGTCCCTAGTCTATTGATGAACGTAGTGGTACTATTTTTTAATATATGTATATATTTCGGTGATTAAACAGAAGTAAACTTTTTTTTTTGTGGCACTATTTTTTATTATATGTATATATTTCGGTGATTAAACAGAATGAAATTTTTTTTTGTGGCACTATTTCTTAATATATATATATATATATATATATATATATATATATATATTGTAGATTAAACCGAAGTAAATTCTTTTTTTGTGGTACTATTATTTAATATATGTATATATTTTGGTGATTAAACAGAAGTAAATTCTTTTTCTTTCTAATAATAAATCGTAATGAAAATTTCTAAAGACAAAAACATATATATATATATATATATATATATAGAGAATAATATCTTACCATTTTTTTTTAAATATCTAATAAGTCATCGTATATCATAATTTCTTATTACACTGACTAAAGGAAATATATACAAATATGTTCAATTCCTTTTTCTTTTAATTAAAAAAATAACTCTTCCACAATTCTATATTAAATAGTAAAAAATGTTTGGAATAATATTTGGACAGGCACATATGTACTTTTAAGAGAACTAGATTAAGCTATGAGATTGACAGATAAGATTTTTTAGAGCTATAGATTTTGACACATACCCTTGATCTTATATTTTTAAGTCTCTTCTCCAAAAATTTTATTCATTAATATATATGGGATATATGAATAAATGACAAAGATAATTATTTTAAAGAATCACATATCATTTTTTGAAATCTAAATCATCTGGTTTTGTCTCGACCTTCCACATTGGCTTTATTTTTTCATAAGCTTCTCTTCATACTTCTCGAAGAAGTCCTTGTTCTCCTTAACCAGCTCGTTCCACACTAGTTTTAGTTAACATAAACAAGAGATAACACAACTGTTCATACAAGACACGAAAAGCATATAGTAGTATAGATAAAGGATAAGAAAGGACCAAACCAGTGGAAGTGATGATGGGATTGATGTTTCCAGTACTCTTAGAGAGAGCTTCCATGCATTCTTCTTTGCTCATGTTGAGTCCCAAACATATCTCTATCATGTGTTGCACCTATACATAACATACACATGAACATAAGATCACATTTTTGTATTGTCTAAGAATGTAACAACATTAAACATATATATTACCATGTGAATGTATGCAGCTGGAGTAGAGTCACTCATTTTCTCGAGATATTGATAAAACTGTGAATGAATCCACACACACTCAACTTAAGAGCCACCACTATGTGATTAAGGCTTATTTATAGAAGAGCTCTCTTGAAGAAGAATATGAATAGTAGTGTAAGTATGTGGTCGGAAGTCTCACACGTAGGTTAATTATAATTGGCTGAGACAAGATTAGAAGGGAATTTTAAGAAAGGGAAAAAATAGAAGAAAAAGAGAAAGATATCTTAATAATTAACCTTTTCTCTCTTTTATCCTTTTTTCCACATAAATCACCTTTTTAGATTTTTTTTTTTTTTATATAGTTGGCTAAAGTCGAGAACTTCTTACAATTTCATCAAATAGTAGCGATTTGACCAAAATACTTTTCATAACATTTATATGTAAAATATACTAAAAGCATTTTCTATTTCCACAAAAATACATACCCAACAAAAGAAACCAATTTTTTCTTACTCGTTATAACACTCAAAGTCTAACTGTATATTCAGTTTACAATATATATCATGAAAATTAGAGGTACAAGAATGGCTTTATCAACAAGAGCGTTCACAATCGTATACTCACATTGGCAAGTTCCATGGAGTATGAAAGCAAATGTATAGCATCTATAAGCTTTATTCCACTGTTTAATACTTTTATAATTTCTAAAATAATCAGACTAAACGATGCATCCTTTGGAAAACATGTTTTTTTGTTGAATATAATTTTATATTCAAAAGCGGATAACTTGGCATTCATGGTTCGTTCCAGTCCGCAATTTGTTAAGTTTGTAAACAATTGTCTTCTTAATTGGTTCACTTGAGTCATTTTTCTAGTATTTATTGACAAAAAAAATTGAATTCATAAAAAAAAATAAAGTTACATATTTTTTGATTATTGTATAATTATCATTATTGAGTAGGAAGATTTTTAGAGCATATAACTTCGTTTTCTTAATTTAGGTTAGAAATTAAACGAAATAATAAATTGGTGAAATTAATATCGTAGTTAAATTCCAATTAAGAGATGTCTTAAAATGGATGTGCGGATCAGAATTTAAATGAAAATGGTCATAAATTGTTTTGTATATTTTTAAGGGTGTGAAACTGTAATTTGTTATTATCATGGAAAAAAATAGTTGGTGTTCATGTTTATTACTAGTGCAGACTACAAGAAAACATACCTAGCTATTTCTGACCACATGGTTTAATTTCATGAAACTTGCATTTGCGACAGATGTGGTGTTGGTTGTATCATAGATGAGACCAGCTAGACTACGAGAAGTGTGGTTGCTATTCTAAAATATAAGATCAAAACAGACTGCTTTACTTATTACTATAGAATGTATTATAATGATTATTGTAAATTATAGATTAGAATGTAACTTTGTGAGTTCTTCGTGCTTTGACAGTTTGATATTTTTTTCTTCTAGTAAAAAATGTTTAACAGAAGTTAAAAATCGATGAAACTAAGCTTCTCTCCAAGACGGAACCTCATTTACTTAACTTGAAAATGAGTTTTCGAGGTTATATCCTTACAAATGTAAATCCGAATTCAAAAGATAATATAATTATACTAGTATTATAGTTACTAAATTGATTAAATATGATAAAATATAGTTTCCTAAATTTTAACTTATATATGATATAATTTAAGATAAAAATCCAATGTGATTTTTTTTTCTTGAAAAATCATGGAATAACTGACAATAACCATAACCTAACCAAAGTGAATTGCATATAGTTGTTTTATATGGATTCATATTTTATAAAACTGATCAATCGTACGTAAAACCCGAAAAATCATAACTAAACCAAATTATTACATAAGAATTTTACATGGTTTCAGTTTTTATAAATCGAATAACTGTAACTGAAAAATCAAACCGAAATACTGAAAAACTATTTGTGCAGGATTATAAGAAAACAAAATTTGTTTCTAAAATTTATTATTTATTTATATAATTTCCGGAACAATGATCAAAAACTCAAATATAGTGAATTGAAATGGTAGTGGAAACTTCAGTAGCGAATAGAGAAACCTTTCTCATCTCCTAAAATGTAACATTGTGACTGAAGACTTCACTGTTATGTAGCTACGGGTCATTCTTCTTTGGTTCCAAGAAGTATTTGTCTTCTATTTGATTGATTGGTAGAAATGATGAAAGATTAAAAGGTGCTTAAAGTAGGGTTAATTGTTGTATAACCCTTTGTTCAAAAAAAAAAACACAAAAAGATCGAAACTAAAATAAAATTTATATGAAAAGAACTAAAACTTTGGTCATTATTTCATACATAGAATAAATATTTTCAACTAGTAATCTCAATCATGATTTGGTTCAATGATTAAATTTTATTTCTCTCTGAATCTAATATATGTAACCATTTCTTTTTAATTTTGTTTTGTGTTTATAGAAATTATTTTTTGTGGTTCTGAAAAATAGCTTTAAAAAAAAAAACAAAAGATATAACAGTAAAAAAAAACAAAATTTGTGGAACTTGACTTTTCAAAACATTTCAAATGTTATCTAACTCGCCTAGGTAGCCACAATTTACAGTTCAATGATCTTTAAAATTTGTCGGCAAAATATTTACTCATGATGTGAGTTTGTATGAATCTTTTGAATAAAATGAATTATGCTACAAAGTCCCAACCAAAAATAGAAAAATAAAAATAAAATAACTCATATACGATCATAGATTAATAGTTTTGCCATTTGTGAATAATTATTTTTTGTAGTATATATAGTCGATCCCTTACAAGTAGGTCAGCCCCTGACTATGCCATTATATGTGAAAATTCTCAAGAATCTTTTCATAAACTATATATGTTTCTTTCAAAACTCGTTTATATTTTATCACAAAAATGTAATTAAAATTAATATAGAATTTAATTAATTTTCTCCATGAAATCTGCGTCGTTCCATTTTAATATATATTACAAAAATATCTATCAAAATTTCATTTTCTAATTTTTTACATAAAATTTATTTATGTATAAACTAGAAGTTTGAAATTGTATATATAGTGTTCCAAAAAAAAAAACAAAAAAAAGTAAGAAATTGTGTATATAGAACCTAACACGTGGAAGCGACAAAGCATTAATTTATAGGTATGGAATAATGTCGGCATGCATGAATCATGATGCATCACATACGAGCAAATCCTATGAATTGAATCGTCGAGAAAAATGCACCAAGATAGCAATATCCTAGGCAAACCTAATACACCCTACACAAAATCTAGATTGTGGATCGTGATCGTATCTTCTTTTTATAAATATTTCTTTTTATTACCAAGTGCTAATAGTTCAATTGTTAAAGATTTTGGTAAAATGTAGAGGTCGTTTGTTCGAGTAGAGATTGGGACGAGACCATATGACATACTCTGATCTCAGGTCTAAAGAGATGTATGAGTTTCGGCTTAAAACCTTTTAGTTATTATAAAAAAAAAAAAAATTTGAAAGGGTTTATGAACTTTAAACGAAAGGGAGATAAAAAAGTTTGTAAACTCAATTCTTTTTTCAGTCTCTTCGTGATCAGAGGATTGAACTCGCCATTCATATATTATTGATATAATACCTCGCATAAAAAATTGATAAAGATTCTAACAATATATACAAGATAGATGGAGTTTTCCACTTATAGTTAATTGACTTTACATTGGAGGTCTACGTTAATATGGTATAAAACTTATGAATTTTCCAGCCTAATCACATTTGACATATTTCAAATTTTACCTATGTACCTATTTTTATCTGAGAATACCAAAATTCATAGTTCAATAAGCTATCGTCTCGAAAAAGCGTATTAGAAATATTATATTTCCACATCGGAAATAGGATAAATATTTTAAGGATATATAAAATATATAGGGTTATCCATGTATTTCTAATTAGTTTTAAGTTGAAAAACCGATAATTATATTAAGTAAGATTTCCCAAAATCGCATATGTCTTTTACATCCACAAATATCAGATTAGGTTTTACATCTTTCTTAACGAATCCCAAAACTGAATCAACGCATCTTTCTGAGATGTTATGGATTCGCCAACCTATCTTTGTTCTCTTGTTGTTGCATCCGTAGATGCCTTTAGTCTTATTGTTGTTTAATCGCTAAACTTGTAGAACCTCTAAGCTTTGTATTCCATTGAGTATGATTGTATGAATGAAATCAAATGCTTTTGTCCAAATCAAATGCATTGCATGCAACTTGAATTTAAATTAACCAATAAAAAATCTACTAAATAACTTATTATTTATGGTATAACAGGTTGTTTATGTATCTATATATATAAAGTTAGCTTTTTCTCTCTTCTCATGATGCCACCTAAGCATCCACATAAGCCACATTTTTGTTTAAACCTTAAAATAAATTTAAAACATTCATTTAGTGCATTTTTGTGTTACTTATTTAATTAATAGAAAGTTTATATAAATAAAAATAAATTATGTTAAAAAAATGAAATGTTAAAATAAGAAAAACATTACTTTAATTTTTTTATTAATGGTAATAATATAATTCAACTTTCATTTTAAATTGATCATAATTTAATATTTTAAATATGTTACTGAGTTTTAGAATGGAAGTAAAATTTAAATTTATGGTAAACTAAAACAACATTTATGTAATTGTATATATAAAATTATAAAGAGGAAAAAAATGAAAGTGAAATATTAGTTTATAACATGATCAAAAAGAAAAAAAATGATATTTCATAAATTGAATCAAGTGCTTTTAATCCAAATTTGAGTATTGAAAGATAATAATTAAAGAGAAAATAATTATAATATTTTTGAAAATCAATTAAAAAATAATAAAATATCACAATATGAATAAAAAATCAACAAAACAAAATTATAAACCTCCCGCGCGGAGCGCGGGTCAACTGCTAGTTATGTATAAAATCCGTTTTTGTATTCGATTTGGTAATATATCTTAATATCTACTCAAACGCAGCAAAACATTGTAATTGGTAATGCAAAGTACCACATCTCTTGCCACATACATTCAAGATCCTACTGTACAACATATGACTACTTTGGCAATC